AAAAAAAAAAAAAAAAAAAAAAAAAAAAAAAAAAAAAAAAAAAAAACAGCTGTATTGACACGAATTGCACGAAAAACACTTACGTGTGGAAAATAAAAGCGGATATACTCGTCTTATCGTTACAGGTGCGTCAATTGATTTGACTAATTATAGAAGTACAATTTTTATGAAATCACGATCGTACGCGCTGAATGGCGAATGCTTTGAAACATAACGCTTCGTGAAAATTAAACTCTCTTGTTGAAAGAGAAACGCGATATGTTTTGTACTGTAAAACGATAATCCGCAAAATCGCGTCGCGAAACCCATTTTGCTCTGCACACTGCTAATCTTCAATACTTTAGTAAACAGTGTTTTATCTAAATGATGTATGCATACACATTTCTCTTTGAGTAACGAGTATTATTATATTCACTTTTTAAAATGCACTATGAACATTGTATGAAAATCTGCATTTTTTTTTTTTTTTACAACAGTTCTAAAACGTGTTCGTAGAAATTTCGTAAAGGAATATTGTTACTTACATAAATAATTCCATTGAGATAAAAGTCTCATAAAATGATTCGCGTGTTATATTATTTTCATAATTTTACTATCGAATTTAGTAAAATAAACAATTGTTCCAAGTCGCGCGTAACAAGACAAACATTAAGAAATATTTTTTTAAAATTGTTGCCAACTAAAATAAATATTTCGTTCTCTTATCTTTAGATATATTGCTCATTTTATTTCATCAATTGATTGAGACTATCCTTATCTATTTATTCTCTAATAACACGGAAGGTAGCAAAATGTTTACAAACATACTTGAGTTTTGCAATTGAAGGAGTGTGCGCCTACGTATCATTTTTACGATTTCAGATAAAGTAATAATATCTTGTTTCAAATTTTAAAAGAATATTTACTATGTATCAGGCAATTATAGTCGATTCTACAATACGAACCGGCGATTGTTTTTGATAACATCGGTAGTATAACAAGGAAAAACGTGGAATGTAATACTGATAGTCAAATATTGAACGTGATACGAGTTCCCCCTTACTTTCAAGGGGAATTTCATGATAATAAACAGACAATTTCATCGCGGAAACCACAAGTGATTAGAACAAACGATGGGGACGCGGTGCGTTAAAAACAGGAAATCGATCAGGGAAATAACTGGCAGTAATACAGGAAATTATTTTTAACTTGAAATAATTTGTATATCATAATGTATAATTTAAAAAAAAAAATCCGTATTAAATAGAAATAATTCCTACGCTATTGTATTTCAGAACCATTTGTGAATCTCTACGCCATTGTAGATGGATATGCGATGCTCCGTTGGAATCCTTATATTGAAATACGAAGATTCCATCGGGGGAACATGCTTTATAATTTTCTTGGAAGATGTTTCGATTATCGATTTATTCCATTATTAAAGACCCTTGCATCAAAGTCTGCTTAAAAGTGTGAGACGGAAGATTTTTGAATGGCATTGTTATACTTGAAGAATTAATCACTAGAACATTTAGTGCTTTTCAAATATTTTCTGAATAATACGTATAATCTTAATAATTTATATATGTTTATATTTATGTAATAAATATGTTTACATTTATATAATAATTTATGTAATGATATATCGGAGCTTGTAAGTAATGTAAAATTGGAAACGATCAGGATTGAAGAATATTGGTCTCAATTGAAATCGATGATGGTTGTGATTAACCAACACACGACACAGCAGTACTGAGATTTATGAACGAAAATCAAATAGCAAACATTAAGTTATCAATAATCAGCTTTCGTACGACGAAAATTTTTTTTTGTAATCGTAATTTAAAGAGAAACTTTATGCGTTACATTTTAACTGGCAACATTCTTACAAAGAGACATGCAGTGATACATTCACTTTTTTATCAGTACAAGCCATCACTACACCATACGCCACGAAACATGTCATTACAGCATATGTCATTACAAAATTCAAAGAAGAAATACTTTCATTTTGTAAGAACACGATGCTAAAATTTAATATCAGAAGTAGTTGACAGATAGAGTTAATGACAGATTGTAGAGACTACAGAGATATTAACGCTAAAATATACGAAGGTTTGATTACATGACTACCCTACTGCATTCTAGTAATGTGAATATATGTAGCTGTCAATATGGGTCATTCGCGTTTAATATATATCACGAGATTAAAAACTGATTGCACTCATGCGAATTTCAAATTAAATTTTTGAAAGAATTACATCATCTGTACTAATTAAATTAGACTAGTTCCGTGTATAAAATATTAAAAATTCTCGATCTTACCTTTGCCGAGGTTATGTTGTAAAATGTGTTACTTTTCTGCAAAAATACTTGGACACGATTATAACAAGCAGACACTTTCTCTGCGGGGACGCTCGAGCAATCTCTCAGAGACTCATTAATAAACTGAATATAACATTCACGATTTCCTTCATCGCCGTAGATGTAACATAACGAAGACTCGGCTTAATAGTTTTCGGCGGGTAAACACGTGACACTAGAGTAGTGATACTATTATTTCCGTTTCACAGCAGATGGCGCAGTAAGTCATTTTATGTTGAAAATGTTTTAAAATTTAAAGACAAAATTGTAATGTCAAATTAAATAAAGATACATGAACACTGAAAAAAAGGGATGAAAAACTAATATTTTAAATTATTAAAATATTCGTTTTTTCTTGTACGCGCACGAACGTATTCTTTCTTTACACATTGAAGGACGTTTAAACTTGAAGTTTTGAGCGCCAAAATCTAAGCGCATGGCATCTGCGCATGCGTGTATAGTTTGTGTACTGACACTTCAATTTGATAGTTGAAATACGAACGTTTTCGATGAGATAGTGAGAAAAATCTCAAAATGTCAATTATTCCATTGTGGCCAAATTTACAGCCCAGAGCAACAGATCCTCTGTGGTTTAATGCCGATAGACCTTGCGATGACGAGAGCGAGGTAGCTGCACTTGAAGCTGAACATCAAGCGTGGGTAAGCAAATTACGTATAACGCACAACATATTGTTACATATAACAAATATAAACTACGTTTACCTAATTTGATCTTTTATCTTTGCTTGTTTTTTAGAGAGAACATGTTCGTGTCCAACGTTATGATCATATCCCAATTGGAAAAACAGTCAGTGATGTAAGTTAACCTCACTTTTAGTTTTGACGTACATAGTTACTGTATTATTTAATGATTTTGTACGAGATTTATATTCGTTTTGTACATGACTTTTATAATTCATTACTTTAATTCATATATGTAGATCCATATAAAATAAAAAAAAATATATTTTTTTCGAAATTGTCAAACTTTTTACCATACGTGGCAATTGTTGATTTCTACTTGCTGGTATCATTACCGACTATCGAATAAATCAACGCGAGCGAATAAATCAGAGTTCAAATATTCTTTAAACAATATGAAATTTCTTATAAATTAGTTTCCTATATTTAGTATATTTTTATTAATTGTCATGGAAATAGAATTTTATTTGATACGAATGGAATTACTTATTAATATAGTTCAGAGGATCAGAAGAAGAGGAGGAAGAAGAGGAAGAAGAAGAAGGTGAAGGAGAAGAAGAAGAAGAGTCAGATACACATGAAGAAGAGGAAGAAGAATTAGATGAAATTGACATGGAAGTGAGTTACTCGCATCAACAACAGACATCAAGTCCAACAGACACAGTGACAGATCCAGTATCTATCAGAATGGTCAGCACACATACTGGTCGTTACACCTAATTAAAATATTGTAATTCTTATTGAACTCTAACCTCTATCCAGCTTTCCCAGGGAGGAAGTATTGTACAATCTGATTAATTTTTGTGAGTTAATAACATTATATAGGTACCTATTTACTTATCGCTAGAAAATTAAGGCTACGTGAAAATAAATAAAGAATCATAAAATCTTTTTAGATGTAAAATAATAAGACGTTAAAATCCTTAAATACCAACATGCGACGCATTACGGCGATATATTTTAGCCATTTTATCGTAAATAAGTCGTTATTATGAGGAGTCAGCGTTTTGGAATCATCGTCTGTTAGGTCAAGGACCTTTCGACACCGAGCAATGCAAGTCGTGCTTCGTCGAAAAAAATGACGTTAGTATACAAAAAAAAAAGAAAAAAGATACAAACTTATAAGTAACTTTCCATTTAATCGTAATTTCAACTTGCTTCCACTTTGATAAAATTATCAAACGACATAGTCAACCAACGACAAGTTAAATTTAATTCACGTTTATTCTTATCATAATATCTATATCAGGATATAAAATTTCTTTGAAAGTATGATCCGTGGCTCGTCGAAAGCGATCGAACACAAGGGCTTGCCCCCTGTCCCTTTCTCTCATAGTGTCTTCCATCTTTCTCTTTGGAGAACGGGGCAAGTCGGTACCCCGCCTCGCTCGTAAAGGGCCGTGGAACCGCATCATGCTCGACCGGGACACTCTCTGTACACTCCGTATACCTACCTATACTAGATGTAAGTACACGCGAGAATGTATTATATACCTATATACAGCGCCGGCTCTCTCGGCGTGTAACTGAAGTAAAGCCAGGTTGGTGCCCCCGCTAGGGTGAACGAACGGGTACGCTCAGGCAAAAGCGAACCCGTGTGCCTCCTCCACCTCCTCTTTCTCTTTCTCCACCACCTCCTCCTCTAGCAACGACCTCCATCTCCTCCTCCGGTCGAAGATCTTCGCCTCTGATGTCACACAGTAGTGGAATTGCAAATTCTTTTCTTTTTTTTTCGGATATGTATTGGTCCGTTAGGGAACGTGAGTGTGGCCCCGCTTACGCGCGCGCGCGCGCGTCTCAACCGGCCGAAAAATTTTAATCGAACGCATGGCAGCAGTTCTCTCGCGTACGGCGTTTTGAAGCATTCGCATCGAGAGAGAAGAGAGTAAATCGTTTTTGCGATTTTACGTACATCGCGATGTCCATAGCGGCCGGCGCAGCTGTAAACACGGTGAGCACAGAATATTTAATAACGGGCAACGTTAAAAGCGAGTAGCAAAGATTTGCAATTTTATCCGAGCAACTGAATCGCTTCAAGGTTAATTTAACTGCACACACCGCGAACGAACGGGCGAGCGTGCATTTCCATCTCGCGCTTACAGTATTGCGCGCATAAATCTCGGGATTTATGAATCGCGAGTTTCGTAGATGGTAATACCCTTCGGATTTATGAATTAATACCGGTCATATTAGACGTATAAATCTTAACATTCAGATAGATGGAATCGTCTATAGGGATTATCCCACCGCTTCGTGATTCTACTACGGCGCATCTCTAGATTACTGCTATCAATCTTTATCGTCTTTGCAGGCTGGACAGAGAAAGAAAGAAAGCAGAGGAACTCGTCCACTTGTATCGCGGAAACATAGAAAGCCCGCGCGTGGTATTGATCGCGAATGTTGGATTCGCGCGAGTGAATCTCGATCCTGCAGATCGGGGAATTCGTATCAGTCGGTTCCTCAAAGCGACGACGATCTTGGCAGAACGAAAAAATCTAATCTGCTGATGTCTATGACGACTGTCTGGCTTCGCCGATCGATAACGTACGCTCGAAATCGACGGTGCTTTATCGGAGTTTAACGAAAGCACGATACATCCTACATTGTGTCGGCGAACGTTGCGCGATACAATTTCGACACTCGTGGTCTGCTTCATATACTAATGTATATACTATCGTCGACTTGACCTACTGGCCCATATGTGACTCATTTAAAAGTATCGTTCGACCTTGGAGCGATATCGCAGCGTGTCCGCTCTTTTCTCGGGAGTTTTCTAAACTCTGACGATCGAATTTCGGTCGGTGCCAGCTGACTCGGCAGCGTCAACTTAATCACCACGCGTTTGACGCAAATACGCAATAAAACGGTCAAACGGTTTGCAACAGTTAATGCCCGGTTAGTGATTTACTGCCGCGGTGGTTGATCGCGCGTCAACCGATTTCACCGGCAGAATGCAGAAGAGTGCCGCCGTAGGGGGCAGGCCTAAACGGCTAATGTCGAGAGTTAAGGACTCTAACCTGCCTCGAAAGACATTACACGACGTAACAGATAATAAATCCCGTGTTCCAGAGTGTAGCGGAGATAGCGAGCTGAAGGAAAATGAGAGTGTCGGGAAGGAAGATGGACGAGATGCTTCTCTTTGCAGCCGGTTTGGACGAATGCCTTGAGAAAATCGCGTGGAACCGAGGCTAACGTCAAACTCCGACGCGGCTACTGACAATCAGCGAAGAAGCGACAGGCGTGCAACGCAGGATCAATCGAAAACGTCTAAGCGGGGCCGAACGGTGGCGTAATACGGCGCACGTCACACGCGAAAGAAAGCAGGGAAAGTATTCAAATGAAGCGTGTACTACCAAGTAATAATAAGAGGTACGATCCAACGGAAGCTTTCAATGCTTGAAATCGTAATCGTCGCGACCATTGACAGCAACGATGGACATTTTCATTATCGCTTCTATCGCGTAATCGTAACATTCGCAAACATGTGGAGGAAAAGAAGAATGAAAGGATTGAAATCTGCCAGCTAGAAAGAGAAAGAGAGCTGCAATGATAAGGGAAGAAAGAGCACAGGGAAAGTAGGAATAAAAGAGATGGAAATACGGGAGAGAAATGCACGGAGAAGGCATTTTGGAGCGACAAGGAAAGAGTGGGGAGGCTCGCGATAGAAAGAGTGGACGCATCGAAGTCGGCGCGCGTTGAAGGGAGAGGGAACGCGTGACGAGCGCGAGCAGGAAGAGCGGCACGAGCGAGAGCCGGCGAGTTCGGGAGTACTCGGTCGCTCAGTCGAACGCGCGATTACAAGCACACGAGACGCGTGGGGCTCTCTCTCTCTCGTCGACCAAGCTGAAAGTGTTTCGTACGCGACCACGTGCCGGCTAAACCGCCGGAACGTAACAGAACGATATACGGCTCGAACATACACACCGAGTGACACCGTGCTGGTTTACGTGCCTACTGCGGCTATTTACAC